TAGTAGTGAGTGGAAGTAGGCGGGTGCTGAGCCTGTGGCTGTTCTATATGCAAGCATCAATGTCTTGAACTTGATTGTGTATTGTTGTGAGTTTGATAGGTTGATTTGCCCAGAAAGTTTAACACTGTGTCTTTGTGGCAGTGTCAAATCATTGATTAATTTAAGCATCACAATCAGCTCAACACACCAACATATAACATGCTGTATGCAGTATAAGTATAGTATAAAAGTGTGTTTGCTTATTCGGTGATGCTCAATCAGTACCTTTAAGGGTGTGTAAGACAGTAGTATTGGAACATATGCTTATTAACATTATGCAGCATAATGTTTGTGTGCCTGTACCCTCCTGTAAAACCCAGCATATGCCAGCATTAATTCCATGAAGGTCCAGACTGTTTTATGCTGGTTAGTGCAGATATAGTGGTAGTGAGTGGAAGTAGGCGGGTGCTGAGCCTGTGGCTGTTCTATATGCAAGCATCAATGTCTTGAACTTGATTGTGTATTGTTGTGAGTTTGATAGGTTGATTTGCCCAGAAAGTTTAACACTGTGTCTTTGTGGCAGTGTCAAATCATTGATTAATTTAAGCATCACAATCAGCTCAACACACCAACATATAACATGCTGTATGCAGTATAAGTATAGTATAAAAGTGTGTTTGCTTATTCGGTGATGCTCAATCAGTACCTTTAAGGGTGTGTAAGACAGTAGTATTGGAACATATGCTTATTAACATTATGCAGCATAATGTTTGTGTGCCTGTACCCTCCTGTAAAACCCAGCATATGCCAGCATTAATTCCATGAAGGTCCAGACTGTTTTATGCTGGTTAGTGCAGATATAGTGCTGGTCTAGCTGGTAGTAATTTGGAATTTTAAATAAGTTATAGAAGTCAAACTTGTAAAATGTGAATCACAGTCTATTCAAGAAACAAACCAATAAATATCAGTAGCATGTAACTACAATGTTGTACTTATGTTGCATCAAGTTCAAAATTGGAAATACATTTGGGTACTTTCATGTGTCAAAATCCAGCTGACAGCTACTGACAACAAGAAAATATTTAGTAAAAGGAATAAATATAAAAAGCACATAGTAAAAAAAAATATTTGATTGCAGTCAGGAGCATAACTTTTTGCAGACAATAGTAACAATGGCTGAAAGTGAAATAATTTAACCAATGCCCATCTATAGTGAACACTAATCACCATAACAGTGACAATGGGCTTCAACAAATCTTGCACACACAAACGTTTGTTGGGGTCTTTCTGGGATCCTACCAGCATCCAAGTGACAACATATGCTGCTCCACCAGCACACCAGTGTCCCACAATGGGGTCCAGTAACCAGCAACCAGTGACCAAAGCTGGTACCAGTGTGCAAAACATACCTTATGCTGGTGACCAGCAATGTTGGATTTAAGGGTGTGTAAGACAGTAGTATTGGAACATATGCTTATTAACTTTGCAGCATAATGTTTGTGTGCCTGTACCCTCCTGTAAAACCCAGCATATGCCAGCATGTGTGCTTCACAAACTCCTGCTTTCTTCGTGTGAGGGGTTACATGAATTTGTAGCTGAAAAGCATGGGTGTTCATAGAGTTTAACTTACAGATACTTTGCTTTCAAGATTCCTAGTGCTTCATCAGAACCTCTCAGTCCATACCGCAAAAGGTTTGCCAAGTGAAACATAAATTAAACCATCGGCAAACGTGCTTCTGTAAATATTTAAACCTTGATCTCTCACTTTGGAGGGTAAAGCTTAGGTAATAGACAACAGTTAGTTCTGGTCCTTGTTTGTAGTGTATTGGATGCAGTAATTAACTTATGTATTACAGTAGAGTTTGAGTTTAATGTGATTGTATTGCTTTTATTTTCAGTATTACTACTCCATTAAGGATATATCAGTTGGAGGCATGTGCATCTGTTACGGTCACGCCAAGGCCTGCCCTTTCAACCCATACAACAAGGTTTGTCATCTGAAGCTAAAGAATCTTTATCCTCAAATGATTTCATATTCAGTTTAATTAGGATTATTTCTTGAGCTTTATTACTAAGTTGTTAATTAGAGACTAATCACTTTTGGCCTTTATGAAGCATGCTCTCACAGCAGTTATAAAAAAAAATAGATAATTAAATAGTTGCATTTGGGTCTTATATGATCATAATGCTGTATTTTGTAGTACAGCACCACAAAAGGTCTAGCACATTTTCAGATAACTTTATGAAAATACTTTGACAAATATATATGAATTATATATTTGAATGTGTGTGTATATTTACTTAAATATGTGTATTTAAAGAGGTCTAGAGGGCAAAAATTTTAACTTTTAAATCAACTATCCCTTTAAAATTTGAGCCATGAACATATCAATATAAAGAGGTTGCAGACGCTTGCAGGCTTATTGTCAAAAAGAGAAAATGAAAGGAATGAAGAAGGAGATGGATAAAGAAAAATAGTTTCTAGAACTAAAATAAATGCTTTTGATCTATTTATTTATTTATTTATTTATTTATTTAATAATCGGTTTTAATATGACTATCCTAACCTCAGCCTATAAATACATTTGTCAAAGTCACATTTTTCCATGTTCTAGTTTAGGTTTGAGGATGAGTGAATGCACTGAAAGGCTGTAAGGAAAGTGTAACCAAGTTTACTAAATTCATTCACAATATGTACACATTAATTCTTAATCTTGTGCCTAATATGCTGAAAACGGCTGAGCTGTTTGCATTCCTGTAAATGACTGTCGGTTGTTTAACATTTCTATCGTAACAGTTTAAAAAAGTCAAATATTAAATGTTAAGCTGCTTACTTGCTCTTTCATTTCACTTTTTGATGGTTAAAATGGAAGTTTCATGTTGAAATTCATGCTCTGCTTCAGTAAACGTTAATGGTAACGCCTGCCTTCTTTGATTTGATTGGCCATCTCAGTCATTTAGACATTGTCGAGTGCTGTTAGACCACTGATCAGCTCAGCACCAAAATACAGCTACTATTAGTCAATTATTTCACAACTTTTATGATACACATCGGAGAAAGCCTCAGTGGTGCTTACAACACTTACTCAGTTCTGCATTGTGTTTGCCATCTCAGATTGAGTTTTAATTGGGAAGGCATTCTCTAATCATTTCTGAATGACACACAATTGGTTTGATTGACTGTTTGGTTTCGACATCAGAAATTCAGCTGTGAGTGTGAACACAACACTTGTGGTGAGAGCTGTGACCGCTGTTGCCCTGGTTACAACCAGAAACCCTGGATGGCGGGAACCTTCCTCACACGCCACGTCTGTGAAAGTAAGAGGCCTCAACAGTGTCCCACAGAGCTGAGCATGCTGCTTTATTGACCATTTTTGTCTTATTTTAGGTGTGGTCTATAAACATTAGGAACATCAGTTCATGTTATATGACATCTGAGTGACTATATTCATATCATAGTCACACTATGTAAAAGTTAATACATCTTAATATGAATTATGCAACAGTTAGTTTGGGTCCTTCAATCTGACTGGTTGATTAGCATTTCAAGATTAGTTGATGTAACCTGGACTCTCCACTGTTTGAATAACTTCACTTGTCTGTGTAAATTCTTCATCAAATGTAGTACCTATTCAGACAATATGCGATTTCAGACACACTGAGTGTCTTTATAAACAAGTCATTGAATTATTCACTCTACCGATTTGTTAAAAAAACATTACTTTTTTCAGGAATTAACCAGATGACTGTCTTCATGAGTGAGTCAGAGTCACTGAATCGTTTGTTAAATGAGTTCAAATGAGTCAAAAACACAGAATCGTTCAGGAACAAAATGCCCCTACTGTTTGTTGCTCAGTATTGCTGTGTCTTAATGTGTAACCATTTTTGTTGGTGAAGCAAAAGCACACAAAGTAACCGGCAATATTGAGTCTAAAATTTAAGTTACGTAATATTAACTTGATTATTTAACTACTGTATTAAAGCAATATCACTCAATCTGGCCACCTTCATGCTACTCCATTTTTACTTTTTGTTATGCCTTCTTGTTACTCCATTCTCAGAAGCGGCCCAAGCTGCAGTTGCTAGCTTTAACGGGACATTCTCAAATTAGTAACAGATATTTAGACATCTCTTTTGGACTAGCAATGGAAGATCCTGAATTCATGGTGCTGTTGGTCGGAGTATCAGCACACCTGTCATTTACCTGTGGCTGAATCATAGCTCTGCCAGTATTCAGATCAACTGTTCCCCATGTGGTATTGCTATATTTTAAGTGTCATGTGTCAGGTGCTGCTTGCAAAGCTGCACTGCTTCTCTTATAGTTGTATAATTGTGTGATGTCTTTATTTGCCAGAGTGTAACTGTCACGGCAAATCAGAGGAATGCTATTACAACCATACTGTGGCCGATGCTAAGCTGAGTTTAAATATTCATGGTGAATATGTGGGGGGCGGAGTCTGCCTTGGTTGCTCTGAAAACACAGGAGGAATTAACTGTCAGTCATGTGTAGACGGCTACTACAGACCAACTGAGGTGAGTTTCTTTATTCCGTT